TGCTGAACCTCTTTGTTATTTGTATGCAAAAATCTGACAGATGTTGGGTGCAAGAAGATGCTGAGGCTGACAGCAGAGTTGTGAGGGACTGAGCAGCTTGCTGGGCACATTAGCCAGTGATGGAGCCTTGCTGGTTCCTCATAGCCCAGATCATCCGAGCTGTCAAGACCAGTTCAGCTGCCCCATGTCATCCAGATCTGGGAAGTCAGCACTTCCATGTGACCTGGTGCTTGAGCAGGAGCTCGGTACCCTGCATGTTTTCTCTCTGTGCTTGCCCTTTGGTCATTCCCTCTCTGTTCTGCTTATTCTAAACGCAAAAATCTGCTGATTCTTCAGGCACAGTTTACAACCTATAATCATCTGGGTATACTGTTACTCAGCAATGAGCAACATTTCTCCCCCCAGAAGCACTGTTGTGCGTAGTGGCCTTATTTCCTATTGTGCTGCAATAAATGATTCCATGTGACGTAGGGCCCAGGGCCTGAAAATGTGATTACTTTAGAGACTTGGGTTTCATAGTCACTTAACACCAGCATTGTTGCAAATGATCAGAATTAGGGCAAGAGAAGTAGGCATGAAATGCTTGATCATAAATATCAGGCCTCAAGAGAGAATGAAAGCTGCTGTTTTTAATAAGAGAAGAGCCTTTTTTGGAATAGCACAGTCAGACTCTGAGGCTCATTTCTGCTTCAACAGAGGACAGTAGGAGAAACTTAAAAATCACGGTCATTGTTGGCTTTAATGCTTGCAAGCCTGTACTGCGAGCAGTTCAACAGAAGGAGCTAAAGTCGTCATCAGAGGTAGCTCACAGGTTCCATGGGCAAATTTTTCCTGTAAAGATAGTACATCCAGTTCTTCTGTATAGAAGTGTGTTTAAAAAGGCTGAGGGGTAGCTGCTTGTAGAGGTTTATGTACCAACTTCACATGTTGAGTTACTGTTTCGTTGCACCCTTCCGAATACACTGTCAAACTCTCATGGCATTAATGTTTAAGTTTACTTTGAAGTCTCAGTTTTAATTTCAATAACTGCAGTTTATCATGATGAGGTAATGGTTAGTATTTGCGAGCTCACTCTACACTTCAGCTGACAAAATACACTGACTTGTTAGTTGAGCTCTTCATTAGTGTGATCCTCAGATCAATATTTCACCTTGTCTTTAACACGTAGTTGATACATCAATTCAGTATATGCAGAACTGCAGGAAAATTAATGTTCTGCCTTATTTTCCACCGTGTTCCTCAGTTACCCAGTTAATCCAAAACACTGACATGGCAAGATGACACACACTTTTAAGAGGTGATGACTTGCTTCATTAGGAAATAGCAATTCTAGAGAATTGCTGGAGTGTGTCAACGAGGCAATGAGCAAGGAGGTGGGGGAGGGGTCTAGAGAACAAGTCTTACAGCGAGCCACTGAGGGAGCTGGGGCTGTTTAGTCTGGAGACGAAGAGGTTGAGGGGAAACCTTATTGCTCTCTACAGCTACCTGAAAGGAGGTTGTAGTGAGGCAGGTGTTGGTCTCTTCTCTCAACTAACTAGCGATAGGACGAGAGGCAATGACGTCAAGTTGCATCAGGGGAGGTTTAGATTGGATATTGGGAAAAATTTCTTTACTGAAAGAGTGGTCAGGCACTGGAACAGGCTGCCCAGGGAGGTGGTGGAGACCCCATCCCTGGAGGTGTTCGAAAAATGTGTAGATGTGGCACTTCGGGATATGGTTTAGTAGGCATGGTGGTGTTGGGTGGATGGTTGGGTTTGATGATCTTAGAGGTCTTTTCCAACCTATGATTCTATGATTCTAAGTTGCTTTAAATGCTTCTTGTCAGTGTTGCTATGCTGATGCTGTGAAAAAGCGCTTGTTACCCAAACAAGAAAAAGTCCTGTGCAGTCACCATTTATTCTTCTAAAGCAATGTTGAAAAGGCCCTGAAACTGTCTCAGATACTTTGGTGCTTAGAGCCCAGACAGAGCAGTTCCAGCAAATGA